GCAGCCTAGTGATGAAGCACGCCGTGGGGCTGTGTCAAGGCTGCAGGGCAAGCCTTTCATTTTGGCATTCCCTGATTTCCACGTAGTCAGGTTTGATGAAGGCATTTGCAGGTCATGCACCGACTGTACTTGCCTCTGCTGGCACAGCCCCCGTCCTGTGCTCTGTCCCCACTGTGCCCCCTAAGATGCTGCATCGCTGGGTTTGTCTCAAAAGTGGGTTTGCTTCCTTCCCTCGAGTCCTAGCTGTATTGGAAACATTCCTGAAAATGAAAGCCAGCTGTGCTTTGAAGTGTGGAGTAGAATTGAACAGAGGAAAAAAAAAAAAAAAAGTCCTATGGGGGATGGGTTTTTTAGAAAAAAACCTATTGAATCAATGTCATTTGTATTAAAACGGGTGAGTCTGTGGATTCATTTCCAAAGGAGCCAGCCTCCCCCCCCCGCCCCCCCCTGCTTCCAGCAGCCTCCCTGCAGCAGCGCCCAAGGCTGTGGCTGAGCAGGGAGTTGTGCTGCAAGGGGGGGGGCTCTGAGGTCTGCCTGCCCCAGGCAGAACGAGCAGGGCAGGGCAGGCTGCTCACTACTGAATTGGTGATTCACAGCTCTGATTCACAACTCCATCCTTATAGCCATGGAAGATGGCCAGATCTGGTCATCAGCTGTGTGCTTTTTTCCAATACGAGGAATTATTTTGGGGCGTTAGATTACAGCACTTGGTGGTTTTTTTTTTTTTTTTCTTGCCTCTGAATTCTGGATGATTGTACCACAAGTAATTGAGGCACTTGAATTTCCTGCTTAGAGAAATGAGCTCAATACCATTTTTTGCAATGCTAAGGCATTTCTAAAATAGCTTTTCTGCATGGCATCATGGGGAGCAGGCACACAGCTTTGGGGCTGTTTGTGCAAGATTTGGGAACGCTGGGTGCCGTAAATTTGCAGAAAAGGCTGTCAGGTTGAACGTGAGCCACCAGTGCATCCTTGCAGTGATAGAGACTGACTGGGTTTTACTGGTCAGATTGTAGCTAGCAGGTCAAGAGAAGAGATGGTTGCTCTCAATTCAGCACTTATGGGACTACACCTGGAGCACTGTGCCCAGTTTTGGGCTCCCCACTTCATCAAAGACATGGCCAGATGGGAGCCACCAAAACGATCAAAGGTCTGGAGCCTGAGGCAGGGGAGGAGAGGCTGAGAGAGCTCCTTCAGCTTGGAGGCCTGAGAGCTAGGAAAAGGGTCTCACTGCTGTTGTCAGAGGTGCACAGTGAAAGGACTAGGGGTAATGGACACGCAAGACAAATTTGGAGTAGATGTTAGGAAATGTTTTTCACCCAAGGGTGGTCAAACACTGGAACAGGAGACCAGAGGGATGGAAAAATCTCATACTCGGAATGTGGCTGCTCAGGCTCTGAGCATCTAATATCAAGTTGAGACCAGCTGAAATCTTGGACCTCTTTTGAGCAGGGGTGTTGGACCAGAGACCATTCCACCTTTGTTAGGCTGGGTGCTTCATGTTCTGTCCATCTGAATCAGTCTGTGACTGTGTGGTCCCACAGAGCATTAAAGAAGTGTAGGGCCTTGGCTGTCCCCCTGACACTGGGGTATAGAGATAATGCAGGGGCCTCTGAAGCCCACCATGTGAGTTCATGTGTGTTCACTTCTTCTCTAAGACCAGAAGAAGGGAAAAGGCTCTGAAATGCTGCCTGTCTCACCATCCTCCAGGGATGAACCTCCTCCTGCTCACTGGTGATGCATGGTCACCCTTTCGTGGGGACACACAGCTCTAAAAACAAGAGCTCAAAGCAACCTGAACAATATCCACATGGTTTTTGATACAGCTGCTCCTCTTGGGCCACGCACCAGAGGGGTTGGACTGTGCCACTCAACCCCCTCCCAGGCTGCAAGGACTAACCACGGCCGTTCTTCCCTCCCTTTCCAACCCAGCTCTTGGGCAAATTTGGTGCTCAGTGGTAGCCAGCTTTCCTATCTGTGCTTGCATGCAGCTGTGGGGACAGGGGTCATTGGGGTGGAGAGCGAGGACCCCCTGGTTAGGGAGCTCAGTGAGGTTGGGGGTCCTGGTGCTCCCAGGTGAATGCCCTGACTGCAGGGTGAGCCTTTCCTTCCGTGCATTCCCGCTGGCCCAGGGCACGGAGGCATGGCTTTGACAGGAGGCAGGAGGAGCTTCTGTCCAGTGCAGCCTGTTGCCCAAAGGAGAGGTGGACAGGGAAGAAAGAGTCTTTCAGAGGTGGAAAATGTGATGCTGGCACTGCTGCATCAAAGAGGGAGTTGAACCCAGGCCTCTGATTTCAAAACAGAGTTCAAACCACCGGACTATTACAATTTCAAAAAAAAGAAAAAGAAGAGGATTTGGCATTTCTTTGTGCTTTCCCTTTCCTCATCCCTGGATCCCATCAGCATGCCGGGGCAGCCCCCAGAGCCAGGAGCAGTGGCTGGGAGGCACCGGGGTGTTTCTGAGCAGCTTTCCTGCAGCCCTGCAAAACCTGGAAACCTCAGCTGCCAGCTGGTGGGACAGGAGCTGCTGGGGTTAACTGGTGGCTGAACGGGTTGTAGTTTGTAATGAGGTTTAGGTTCCTAAGTCCTTTATCGGATCTAGCCTGGGGGTGCTCTATTCCCAGCCCTGCTTGTGACATTAACAGGTCACTGGCAGCCCCAGGGCTGTCCCCTCCTTGTCCTCACTGCCTGGACTGCCTGCACGCTGCTCCCTGGCGCAACACAATGTGCAGGGCAGTGCTACCCACACCCGAGGAGCCTCAGCACAACCAGCATGCAAACGCCGAAATAAATTTGTGAAGTGAGCAAGCCTCACTTCTGGCCTTCTTGAAAGCGTGCCACCACACACGTCACGGAGGAGGGATTTAAATATTTTTTGGGATGCCCTGGGTTGCAGCAGACGGCAGGTATTTCAGAAGCAGTGTTGTCGGCAGTGTCATGCCAAGGCAGCCTCTGCTGCATTAGGGATTGTTTGCATCCTCCACAGATAAATTGGTATGATAGCAGTGCCCTGCGCCTGGCTGGGGATGGCTCACACAAGTGGTAGAGAAGGGGAAGGGACGGATGATCGTGTGGTCCTGGCAGAGGTCCTGTGTGTCTTTGGACACGTTGTTTAAGACCAGATTTTCCACAGAGTACCTGGGAGTGTCCATACACACATCCTTACACTCAGAGCTTGTGTTTCAAAGGGAGTTTGCCCATAGATACCCCTCACTGTGTTCATACCAATTTGCGTGACCATGCAGGACCACGTGGGGCCCGATCAGAGCTCATGGGCACTCTTATCCATCCCATGTATCTGCAGTTTTTCTTTCTGTGTGCAGGACATTTGCACAGGGAGGGGACGGAGAAAGCTCTTGTGCATCCAGGGCTTCCCTCCTTGCAGAGCTTTAATGCAGCTGGGACAGTGACTCAGACGTGGGAACTGCCTTTGCTTACGAGGTCACCCGGGCAGATACAACCTTCAAGGATGGGTCTGTCCCCTTTCCAAAATGGCCATATTGAGACTGCCCTGGGTGTGAGGGCTGCAGCGGGCACAAGAGGTGGGGGGAGTCAGGCAGCGAGGTGCTCGGCACGGTGGCGAAGGGCCCATCTGCCGCCCAGCATGTGGTGCTGAGCTGGCGCCGGCAGTGCCTGCGCTGGCATTTGCAGTGCGCGGGGTGCCGAGCACTTAAGCACGGAGTTGCCAGCAGGAGCCCCCAGAACTGGGGGAGATCTTGGCTGCTTCAGCATGTCGGTCTGCGCAGGGCTTTGGGGTCTGGCAACTCCTGGGTGCAAGGGCTCCACGGTGGTGGAGGAGGAGACCACCTTCATGCTTTGAAGCCTGATGGTTTGAACACTTGACTGGGAGTCAGGCTCAGCTCTCTCCAAGGGACCCCCCCAGCTTTTTCAACCCCGCCAGCTCACTTCTGGAGAGCTCTCAGCTGCAAGCCTTCATCCCAGGAGAGAGACAGTGCACAGCCAAGGGGCAGATCCTGGCATCCCAGTGGGTGGGAGAGGAGAGACTCGTGGTCTGAGTGATGTGGTCACTTAGGGTCAGAGCAGAGGAGGACCCAGGAAGCTGGTTAGAAGTTTAGATCTCTCCGCTGGAAGCAGGGAGGCTCTGGCGGGGCTCTGGGAGCACAGCCCTGACCTTTCCAGAGAGGAAGTGCCACCACCAGTGAGCGGGTGGCCAAGCACAGCTGGCACCTGGCAAACATGAAAGCAGGGTTTGTTAGACTGTGCACAAACTGCTGATTGTAACCTCAGACACAAAAACCTCCTTCGCTGAAGTCTTGATAGCATCCCCAGAGGTTTCCCAGGCGGATCTGCGGTGCTCAGCCCCCACCATTAGCCAGACCCAGGGAACCAAGGCAGGAGCCCACCTCCCTTCTCTCCTGTCCCTGTTGCTCCAGCCTCCCCAGGACTGTTTGCTGCTGGATCTGCAGAGCTGGTGACTTCTCTTGGGCTCCATTCAGAACAAGCGTTGCAGTGCCGGGCAGCTGGGTCCATGCTGACCCTAATGCCCACAACGCCACGGGGTTTTCTCACCTTTGTCTTATGAATGAAGCTGCAGAATAGAGCTGTAGCCTGAAATAGCTTGTAAGGTGCATCCATTCACATGGCCTGCAAAAGGAACAGGAGGACCTTGTTGTACAAGGGTGCATGCACCTCTGGGGCTTTAGGACCAGCATTTTTTGTGGTATTACATTATATTAGTGGGATTTTGAGGTGATGAAGTGGTGGCTGTCTCTGAAGTCAGCAGGAGTTAGGGAGGTGCTGCTGGGAGCACCACTGAGCCCCCGAGTGTTTTTGGTATTGATGGTTATTCTTCAATAGCCTGGTGGGGGATGGAGACCTCTGAAAGTGTCTTAACTCTGGAGTGTTATTTAGCAGAAGGATTTAAAACCTGAAAACTCCTCTCTGCCAGTGGACACAGCCTTGGCTTCTCATGCTCTCTGACAAGCCCGGTCCTCCTGACCAAGTTGTAGTAACTTGCTGTTTCTTTTATTTTCCTGTAGCTCCCAGAATGGAGAGGAAGGTGGAGCCTGGCCAAACAACCAGTTTGACACGGAGATGCTCCAAGCCATGATCCTGGCTTCAGCAAATGGTTGGTCTCCATCACATGCGGGAAAACCATGGCACTTGCGCTTGCGCGGCCATCTCAGATGCATGCTGTTGGATAAAATGAGTGATGTATCTGGGTTGACTGGGGTGGCTTCAAAAGTCCTTCTTCAACAGATACTGGTAGAAGAGCACTGCTGCCTGTGTTACCCTGCAGAGGAGAGGCATTGGGAAGGATTCAGGCAGAGGAGATACCAGATAGCCATCAGCATCAGGCATGCTGTAGACAAGGGTACCTCTCCAACCCAAACCATATTATTTATGTCCTGGACAGAATCTGGCTCGTGATGTGGTTGTGTGACATGAAAAAGCCAGTCTTGAGATGATATTTTATAAATTACTTGGTTCCAGAACGTCTCAGTAAATGAAACATCTGCTGTGTTGCAACTTGTTGTAAGGTGAGGAGGTAGGAAGCCTGGAAGATTTGTTTGTGGCTAGTGTTTGGGCCAGGAATACAGTAAATGCCTGACTCAGTATCTCCAACAAACCTTGTGTCCAGAGACGACCGTGCCTGCTCCCTGCGTGCACTTGGTCCCTCCGCCGAGCCACAGGCTCACCGAGGTTTGTGAAGAACTTCTGGCTTGTTGTAGTTGTAGTCACAGAGATTTGTTTGGTTTGGGGTTGTCTTGGGTTAGTTTGTTCTGGTTTATGGCTCTGCCATGTGGAAGCAGTGGGCAGGGAGGGGTGTTCCCATGCATTCACAGTCTCCATGGCTTTATATAAAAGCAATGCAATTATCAATCTACACAGCACTACGGTTAAGGAGGCTAGTTTTCATACAGCCTTTATTTATAAATACCTCCAAGTCATTTCCCCCTTGATTTAAAAATAGAAGCAACAGCACAGCCATAAAATCCTGTGCAAAATGCTTAGGATGTTTCCATTGAGCTGTTGGGAGAGAAGGAATCTGGGGGAGGAGGGACGGCTTTGGTGTTGCTTTCTTGGAAAGCTGCTGCAGCTGAACTTTGCCGCTCTGCAGACACCAGGCAGCCTGGAGACACAGCTGCTGTGGCCAGGGAAAGGGACGAAGGTCCTGAGCAAGAGAGTTGTTTACAGTCAAGGGAAAGAAACAATGTGAAAATGCCTCTGCTCTGAAAAACGACCATGGAAAAATAGCCTCTGGGGTTGCATGTGGTTATCATCATGCCGTGCCTCCAGATCCGGTTTCCTTGCTCACAAATAAAACTGTTTTTCTGACTGGTGCTCAGGCAGTCCCAGGGTCTGAGAGCTGAGCAGGTCCCTTCCAGGTGCACTGACTTTCACGTAGCCCCAGGCTTTATTGCAGCAAATCTCCCCCAATCCACAAGCCTCAAACAGCCCTAACCTCTCCCTTCGGTCCACCCAGGGGGTTAATTTGAATCAGATCCATCTGCTAGATAAGGGCTTTCCCTCCTGAGGCCCCAGAGAGAGGATGGCTCTGTGCACTCCATCCTTTTCTTGCCCGTGACTGTCCCTTGCTTGCTGGGTGGATGAGTGGGTGGATGGATGGGTGGATGGATGGATGGATGGATGGATGGATGGATGGATGGATGGATGGATGGATGGATGGAGCCAGATGAGGGCAGAGCGCAAGCTTTGTTCACCATCCCTCTGTTTTCATGTCTCCCCTCCTCTCTGTCCTGGCTTTTCTGCTCTCACTCGTTAAGCTAATAGTGTTGACTGGAGCATCCTCTGATTAGGAGCAATGCTAATTAAGCTTTGTGCTGCCGATCATTGGGTAATGTTTCCTGGTTATTGAAACGATCCTTATCTCATACAGTCACCTGCTGAGCTCTGTATGAGCTCCGGGGTGGGGGGTGGGACACCACGACACGGGTGATGGCACTGTGCCTTCTGCTCACCCGCTCCTCTGAGTGTGAGCTGCTCCTGCCCAGAGCCGACTTCACTGCACCGTGTCAAGCCCATGCTCGAGTTCGTGCTGAGCAGAGACTGCCCGGGAAGCAGAAGCTCCTTTGATCCTGCTCTGCTCCACAAGCATCTGGAAGGGGCTGGTGATGCCCTGCCTGCATCCTTACCCTGTGCCGGGGGTTATCCTTCGTTTCAGTGAGAGGCAGAGCTTGTCCTGCCACGCTGATCTGAGGATTAAAGCACTTGCCCAGTGGTTAAATCACCCTCTTAAGCCGGGGTGCCTGGAGAGCTGGTTCCAAAGTCTGCAACCCTGTCTGTAGGGTTTCTGCCTCTCTTCCTGGGCTCCCTTCTGGCTTCTCCACCCTTGGAGCTGGGAGCTTGGGAACAACATGAAAAGGCAATGTGTTTTGATCCATGTGAAGAGGCAGAGGCAGCTGCTAAGACAGACTGAGGAGCACAGATGATCCAAGACACCAGACATTAAAGGGCAGGCATAGGAGGCACCCTGTCCTTAAAATACTCCAGCTTCCAGCAAGAATTTCTAGAGGTGCCATGAGATGGCGAGAGAGCAGATGGAAAGGCAGCCTGAGGAGGTCCTTATCCCCAGCCCCGCTGCCTGCAGGCGGGGGCAGACGCTCTATACTGGGGTCTCCTGAAAGCCCTCCCAGCAGCTGCAGCAGCATGGGCTCCAGGGCTGCTCCCGATGGCAGCCCTGGGCTGCCTCTGGGGTGGCCTCTCCTCCACTCTGCTTACCGGCGCGATGGAGCCACTAGCTGGTTATTTTTGCCAAGGTCCAAATTTGTGTTTTTCTCCTCAGGACCATTGGGATAATGGCTGGCTGCTGGTAAAGGCTGAGTGTAACCTTTCCAGTAACAAGAGCTGAAGTGCCCTGCTTGGCAAGAGCAGCTTGGTGCCCATTTATAAACCTCTATTGTTCCTGTTCTCTCTTCTTTTCAGCCTTAATGTCAGTGTTACCTAGAAACAGCTCTTTGCTCTTACTCTGGACCAACTGGCAGGCTGGGAACTTCACAGGCAGCTTTTTCTCCCACACGAAAACTGTGGTGGTGACTGCTAACTAGTTCATGGGGACCATTTGTCCTGGGTGGTGCTGGGAAGCCCCAGCCCCCTCCCTGCTCAGGGCTCTGGTACATCTGGGATGGTCCAGGGGGGGGGAGTGGGGCAGCAGCACCCAGGGCACAGAAGATGCCCAAACCCACCATGCCCCTAACTGGGCTGTCTCCAGCTCAGGGAGCCCAGAAAAAAAAATCTCCCCTGCTGCCAGAGGCCATAGTCCACCTGCCTGTCCTGACAGCACAGCTCCAGCCATCCCATCCCCATTCATAACACCCCAACGGGTCTGGGGTTGAGTTGGTTGTTAATGAAACAAGCTGCTGCTGAGGTGAGTGAGGATTAGCGGTAAATGCCACTAACTCAATATGCACATCTCCTCCAGCCCAAGGGCCTCAAAGCCCCGCCAGGTCTGGGACCCATTTAATGGGGACTGTAGAAAAATGGCCCTGCCGGTGAATGCTTCCACAGCGGAAAGCAAAATGGCATTTCCCTACACTGGCTTGTTGTGTTTGTACCCTGTCCTACGTGTCCCCCGGCCTCAGTGCACAATATCCTGTCTGTTTTCGGACTCGCTGTGTGTTTTCCTCTGCTTGCTCCAGCAGAGCAGCTGTAACTTTTCAAACTGCGGTTGCTTCATACTTCCGACCTCTGCGAAGGGATGTGTACACGGCAATATTTCAGGGGATTGGTGGGATGAGGCCCAGTTTTTGTCTAGCTTTCTGGCTGGCTTAGCCACCTCCATCCGCTCAGGGGAAAGCTAAGGCAACATGGAGGCGTGCACGGATCTGATCTGGAGTGAGGAAAAACATGAGGGGACCAGCCCACATTCTCTGCTCATTGTTTTTCCTGATTCCCTCAGTCTCTCTGCCTGCGAAAGGAGGGAGCAGCAGCCCCAGACTCTGCCTCGGGTCGTTCAGGTGCACTTGCTGGGTCTCTCCAGCCTCCCAGGACAGCATGTCCGTAGCCACAGGCACGTGGCAGTGAAAAGGCTGAGATCAGCTCCATAATGTCCGAGGCAGGGGCAGCGTTTTAGCAAACCATTTCCGAGCGGGTCTGGGCGAGGATCCCACCCGAAGCCATGCACGGGCAGTCATGCCGGAGCAGGTTGTGCAGCGGCTCACGGCAGCGATGCCGCTTGTGCCCTGTCACCCCTCCGTGCTCATTTCTCCTCCTCCCTTCGTCTATCCCCCCTGTCTCCATCTGGTCTCTGCCTTCCAGCAGTGCCCCAGCATCCCAGGGGGGGGCCCCTGTGCCCTTCCCCCCCCTCTCTGCGCTTGTTCGCTCCGTACTGAAGCTTTACAGCGTGACAGGAATGAATTTGCCTTCCCCTCCCCCTGCTCCCAGATCTGGACCATCGGACGAGCTTCGGCATTGATTTGCTTCATGCTCAGCTTCCTAGAGCCATTTTGTGGTACTGCAGGGGAGGGATTTTCTTTCTCATCTCATGTGCTTTGCTCCCTGAATAAACCTGGCTGGAGAAATATTGAGGGCAGGGCTTTAAATGCAGCGGGGAAAAAAAAAAAAAATAGATTTTTTTTTTGGATTTCCCTTAATGCATTACTAATGGTTGTGGCTGTACAATATGTTTGTAATGGGCTGCTTTTGGAGGGGGGGTGTGTTTTTCTGTGGAGGCAGCACCGGGGAGCTGGGGGGGGGGGGGGCAGAGCAGGCAGCCTCAGGCAGGCAGGGAGGGACAGGCAGGCCCATCGCTGCTGAGGGAGGAGGAGAGGTTGCCCTACCCTGGCCAGCCTCCGGCCCCAAATCCCAAACTTTTGGCAATGAAGTGAGATGGAAACATGGAATTTCGGTGCTGGCTGCCCCGTGCTGCCCAGCACACACGTTGTGGCCATTCTGCGGGGCGATAGGGCTGAGGGTGAGGGCGGAGATCGGTGGCACCGAGGTCTGGGTTTGACACCCAGTAAGAGCTTTTTGGGGCTGCTGGGGCTGGGGGGGGGGGGCTCTGGCCGGCACTAACCACCTGCTTTTCTCTTTTGCCCCCCGCTCCTCTGGCTTCCCCCACAGAAGCTGCTGACAACAACTCGACCCTGGGCGGTGGGACGGGCACCATGGGGCTGAGCGCCCGCTACGGCCCCCAGTTCACCCTGCAGCATGTCCCCGATTACCGGCAGAATGTCTACATCCCGGGCAGCACCGCCACCCTCACCAATGCCGCCGGCAAGCGCGACGCCAAGAGTGCCGGCTCCTCGGGAGGCAACAAGAAGAAATCCGGGAAGAAGGAAAAGAAGTAGAGAAGAAGAAGAAGAAGGAGACCTTAGAGCTACAGGGCAGCCTGCTCCAGCACTCCCCCAAATCACAGCCCAGGCCGGAGGACGAATGTGAATTTTTTGTGATGCAAAAAGTAGGAAACGCTGCGAATGTATCTCGTCATCATCAGAGCTAGGAGCAGGGTCTCGCTGCTGTTAGATCTCATGATGAAAACCAATCCGGAAGCTAAACTGAATGCAAACAAGTGCCCTGTGAATACTTGCTAATGTTTTATACGATCCCTCGGGTATTAGAATATGCAAGGGCGAAAGGTCTTCTGCCACGTCTTTGGATCCGATTTGCTCCCAGATAGTCTGAGAAAGGCACAAGGCTTGTGCTCAGCTTTGCCCTGTGTAAATAATTTTAACATGGATCTTTTAATTTATAGACATTTGATCACTTTTTGGAAACAAAAAGCAAATCCCTAGCTTAGAGCCCAGGCTCCAGATCTTTGCTCTTAAACTTTCCATTAGTAAAATTCACCCCCAGATAATGATAGTGATGGATTTGTTGCTGAGAAGTTGGTAGGGAGTGCTTCAGTTCCTGCTTACCTGTTACCTGGAAAAAAATTACCTAAGTGTTTATATTGCATGAGTCAAAGGGAATATGGCAAAGTTGCATCCTAAACATTTTTTTTTTTTTAAAAAAGTACAACCACTGATCGTCTGAAAGATGAGAATAAAACCATAACCTCCTGATGTCTGAGAAATAGGGAATTCAATGAGGAGCATGCCAAGGTGTGTGGCAGCTGCCCCAGCAGTTCTAGGGGTCTCCAAAAAGCAGACACATCTCATTCCTTCTTTGCAGTAAATATTTATATGTACAGTCAATGTTCTTCTGGAATTAAAGCTGAGAGAGTCTTGCTCCCCTGTGGCCAGGCAGCCGTCTGGCTGAGTCCCTGCCAAGGGGACCAGGGGACGATGCTTCACGTTTCTGCACACCGTGTCTGCATGCACGTCCTTCACCTCACACCCGCACTAGCGCAGTTAGCTCCACGGACCCTGGGGTCCTCGCATGCCCACGCAGCGTGGTGGGAACGCGCCGGCAGCTGCCCGAGCCCCCATGCTTTTTGGGGGGTGGAGGGGATCGGTCAAGTGGGGTGGAGAAACTTATCTCTTCTTATTTGAGGTCTACACCCCAAATAATCCAAAGGGAAATCTGCGGAGCTGCGGGCGCGTGGCTTTGGTGTTGAGTTGGTGACCGAGTAAGTGATGGTTGGTTTGGTGGTGTTTGGGGACCAGACCTGGAGAGGGGACCTGAGAGCTGGGGATGGGCATGGGGTGAGGCTGCAAAACTGGGGATACAAGGGGGGGGAGTGGGGAATGAGGGCAGGGGGGGAGGGGGGACACCCATGGGACCCTGCTGGGCCAGCCTGGAGGAGGTGATGCTCCCGCTGGCTTTGGGCTTTCCACCCTGTGGAGGGAATCAAAGGCTGAGGAATGGAGCTTCTCCACATGCCCATCACCCTTGCATCAGGCCGGCTTCCCCATATCAAAGCAGCTCGGAGCCCCCCCCCGGGGAGGCAGAGGGGCGCTTTGTGTAGCCAGAGTGAGGAGAGGTGCTGCAGGGTGGCCAAGAAGGGGCCGTGCAGGGTTTCCCAGGGGATGTGGGTTGTTTTTTCCCTTATTACTCACTAACACATAACTCACCCGAGCAGATCCAGCCCTCTCTGCCTGGCTTCGGCGTGGCAGCGCTCACCCCACCGCCACCCCCTCCCCAAACCCAGGGCAGCAGGAGCATCCGCCGTGTTTCATCCGGATCCGGCCACCTCCGGTGCTGGCTGCGCCGGGAGCAGTTCCCACCTTGTCCCCTGCAGCTGCCACCTGCCCCCCTCTAGAAATGCTGTAGCTGAATCGTAGTCTTTATATTTCTTTTTAATCTGCAATCTGAGGTAGCGTAGTGAGTGTCGTGTATTTAGTGGCGTGTTATTTTTAATCTCGGTAACTAACTTGTGGACATCAGTATTTTCAATTTTCTCTGTATCTTATTTCCATGTGGTCTGTGCTCCGAGTGTACGTGAAATGAAACACGTTTGCCCTTTCAATGTGTCTAATATTGAATTATACTTATATATTATATATATGCTTATATCCTTCTTATACCCATATAGACCAATGTCAATGTGTTACACGCAAGTTTTATACTCTAATATTTATATTGCTTTTTTTCTCTGGGAAAAAAAAAATAATAAAATGGTTTCTTCTGAATAAATGGTATTTATTCCGATGGGAAGAGGGGGGCACGACTGGAGCTTGTCCACACCGATGCTACCTCTGTGGGGATGCTCTTGGGGCACACCCCCCCTCCATGGGTGATGTGGTTGTGAGTGACACCACTGTGCTCCCAGCCGGCATTTTTGGGGCAAGCCAGGGCAGACCCTGTCACACCCCACCGAGGAGACCGTGGTGTTCACAGCTACAGCCGCTTCCCCAGCCCAAGGGGATCTAGTTGCCCTTCCTGGCGGGGATCTGGTCACCCTTCCCCAATCCTGGAGGGATTGGGTCACCCTTCCCCAGTCCCAGGGGGGATCTGGTCATCCCACCCCACCATCATCAGGGATCCGCTCTCTCTCCTCCAACCCCAAGGTGATTTGCTCTTCATGGTGCCTGGGCTCCCCTCTCTTTGTTTGAGGGGGGTGGTCAGTCACTATACCCGGGGCCCCCTGGCCAGGACGAGCCCCCCCACCCTCTCTTGTCAACATCCAACATAGGCCAAGGAGAAATGTCCTGTGACTCGGGGTGTTGCAACCATGGAGGAAAAAATAGGCAGCTGCTGCCCAGATGTGAGGGGGAGGGTTGGAGGGGCGGGGGCAGAGCTGCCTCGAGATAGGAAGAGAGACAGAAGGACAGACAGACAGCCTGGCATGAGGGGCTGGGGCTGGTGTCCCCCCCATTAGCAGCACACAGGAGGCTCCAGGAGTGCAGGGAACAGCCCCAACTCCCCATATTCTCATCCCATCCCCCTCACCCCGTGCCTCCCTCCGGGCTGCAGCTCCGTGGCCTCCACCCCCTCCCCATCCCCCAGCACCCCTTGAGACTGCCCTGACACACAGACCCCGCCACCCAAAACCCCCTTGTAGACCAACAGACACGCCCCAAATCCCCCTACACCCCGCAGAGACACATACCCCCCTCCCCCGAATTCTGCTGCATTCTCACAGAGACCCCTGGAAATCCCCATGCACCTCTCATAGGGACAGTCCATCCCCCCCCCCCCCCCGCCCCCAAATTTCTGTGCACCACGCAGAGCCAATCCTCCTCCCCTCCCCGTGTACATGGGGACACCGCTGGTCTCTCACACACGCATGCACACGTGTGCACGCACATGCATGCACCCACACAGGAGGGGGTTCGTGCCAGAGCATCCTCTTTTGGGGTAGGTGGTCCCAGACGCTGGGGGGGGATGGGGATGGGGACGACACAGAGGGGGAAGTCAGGGTGGTGACAGGGCAGGGACCTGGTGCTGTGGGGCCCTTGTCACACCCTGCCCTCTGCCCCCAGCCCCGGGGACGCTGTCGCTCCCACGCTGGAGCACATTGCGGGGGGGTGTGTGTGTGTGTGTGACAATGGGGAGCAGGGCTGAGCGCACCCAGGTGCCACCCGGGGGCTGTCCCCAGCACCCACCCTAGCTGCGGTGGCATTGTCCCAGGACACTGGGCCTCGCTGCCCTCTTTGGCAGTGATGCTGGGGCCAGGTGGTGGTGAAGAGGGGATGGTCAGGCCAGCGGGTCCCCGGCTGGGTGACAGTCATGCTGGTGGGGAGCAAAGAGGCTTTGCAAAGGCCCAGAGCCTCCCCGGTACCCCCAGCCCCGCTGTGTCCCCAGCTGCTGGTGTCAGTGCAAGGGTGTGTGCAAGTGTGAGGATGTGTATTTAGTTTCATTTTAATTCGCCTCTCTGTTGCAAGAAAAATCGGCCAAGGGCACTGAGAAATCTGGGAAGGGGAAAACACAGGGACACAAACCTGGCCAATTAGCGCTGATGAAGGGAATCCTGTCAGCTGCACTAATTAACAGGGACAGGCGGGAGCGGGAACATGTTCATTGCAGCATGGTTAGCTGATGGAGGACTTCCTGAGCTGGGGTGATGAGAAAAGGGAAGCCGACAGAAACAGAGCCCAAGTCACAGCCCTGACAAAAGAGACGCAAAGAGGGTGACAAGACCTGGAGCTGAGTGACCATCAGGGATTAGAGGCATTGCTCCCGGGAAGGGCAGACTTGACCTTTGGAAAGGAGGGGATGATCCTGGATGTGGGATGGGAGCGAGTGAGCAGGTAGAGAAAGGGTCTTACCTCCAGCCGTGGCGGGGAGCTGCGGGGCTCTGTGGCTGGAATCAGACCATGGCCTGTGTGCCTGGTGCCGGCTGCTGCGGAGGGGGGTGACCAGCTGTATCCTGCCCCCAAACCTGGTGTGCATGGGGGGGGTGTGTGTGTGTATTCACCAGCAAACTTCAAGGTGGCCCAGCTGCTGAGCAGAGGGGGACTTCGGGTCTGGGCTGGGGTATCAGGCAGGTGAGGGTCCACGCTGGGATGGTCTGAACATCCCTCAACAGCCGGGAGGGGCTTGTATCCTCCTCTACCCCGGTACCCTCCTGCTGCTGCTTCACTCTACTTCTCCTCCAGCTCCTTCTTTTCCCCCATTTGGAGCAGTTCCCCCCATCCCCTCTGTTCCTTGTCACACTCCCAGGTACATTCATGGCATGGAACCAGGGGCACCCCAGGCTGCTCTGCGGGCCGCTGAGATGGAAGCCCTTGGGGGTACAGGAACAGGTCACTCAGTGCTGGAGACCCCACCGTCCTTTCCCTGGGGATTGTCCCCAACTTGCCGCCTGCTCCTGGCAGGGCCAGAGCCTGCAGATGCTGCGGGCAGTGGTGGCCCCACATCACCAGCTTGCGGAGCCCTCGTTCACAGCAGTCACAATTTTTTTTGGCCAGTTGACCTTGAAAATTAAACCAAAACAACAACAGCAAAAAAAAAAAAAAATAGAATTGAGCAAACCCAGTTTTCCACTGGATTTTGTGAGCTGAGCTGACCTGTGGTCGCTCGGTCCTGGGGAGGGCTGGGTGGGGAGCTGGCGTCCTGCCTGCTGACGTGCTCCTTGGCATCACGCGGTGGTCACGGGCTCAGTCCCATCAGGCAGCTCCTCCAGCAGTGACCTCACCCAGTGAAGAGTGTGGGGAGGGAAAAAAAAAAATCAACCCAAAAAGCTGAATTTTCACGCAGCTCCCTCTCACCTGCTCCTTTGGGGTCCCTGAAGACAGTCAGGAGGTTACCCTGGGTCTGTCACTCACACTGGGTAGGGTTAAACAGGGCTTTGTGCTTTCCCCCTGCCAAGAGCCTACAGCTAGATTTTGAGCCTGCCCCAAGCAGAAGAAACCCGAGGGAGCCAGGGACAGTGCAGTTTCTCCTCCCACAAACACATCAGCAGGGCAGGCAGCTGTTGCCATCAAAACTCACTTAGAAATCTCAGTGCTTGGGATAGAAAAGGTCTAAAAGGGACTATCTGGGACGGCTGGTGCAAACAGCCAGGTGAGGGGAGTGGGTGTCCATAGCAGGGTGGCGTGGTGGGAAAGCCCTGCCCACAGCCCGCACCTCCCGGCTCCTCGCCAGCCCCTCACCGTAACATCCCCTGGGATTTTATTTCCCCCTGATGCAGCCGGATCCTCACACAGTTTCACATTCCCAGGTGGGAACGAGAGGTGTTTCACCATCCTCCGCGTCCCTTCTGGCTCCATAAATCCACTTCCTGATGCTTTGATTTATTTTATTATTTTCTTTTAACAACTTAAGCCCCGCGTGTGGAGATGGAATAAAAATTTGCCTTTTGCCGGCTGAAACCTTGTGACTGCGGTGAAGGAAGGGGTGGAGGGAAGGCCTTGCCTGCCCTTTCGGGGGCTGCCAAGAGCTCATCCATCCTGTGGAGGAGCAGGGCCAGCCCTCAGCCGCTCTCCGGGCTGCAGGAGACCAGGCGAGATAGGACGTGGTTGGGATTTTGCCCGTTTGCAGCCTGCGTGACCTTGTGGTGGCCTCTGTCGTGCAGTGGCATGAGCTGCTGGGGGCCTGCTCTGTCTGTCTGTCTGTCCACCCCCACAGGGCAGAGCTGGTGGCTGGTTGGCCCCGGGGGGAGCCGAGGGCAGCTGTGCCCAAAACCTGAAAGTCATGGAGCTGGGGAAAAGGGAGGGCAGGGAGGGGGGAGGCAGGGGAAGGAGAGGGATGCCAGGCGGGATGAAGGCAAAGCGGGTGGATGGGGGAGATGCTGTGAGCACTGCTGCTGGGCCACGGTGTGGCTGGAGGGGCTCAGCTCGAAGGGGACACAGCCATCCCCCCCTGAAACCCACACACTCCGCTGGAATTTATTGGGGTCCCTGTGATGCTGTGGGTGGGACCTGCCAGGGTCACTGTCACCGAGCTGCCGGTGGAGGAGCCAGCCCATGCGCGCGGTCCCTGCGTCTGAGGCTGCCTCTGCAGTCAGGAACACCCCTCCACTCCCCCAGAGCCCAGTGCTGGTCCCCCCCAACCCATCCCCGGGGAGCCCCGGGTGGCACGCAGCCAGGGGAGGGGGTTTTTGGCACCTTCGCCACATGAATGGGCAACGATGTTGAGCCAAACCAGCCAGGGTTTTGCCAGGGTGGCTGGGAGCAGGAAGGGGACTGGAGGTGGCTGTGTTTGGGCATATCCCCCTTTCAGGGGACAGGGGTGTGGGTGGCACTGTGCCAGGGACATCCCAGCGGCCAAGGTTTGGAAGTTGCTGCCAGTTTTGGACTGGGAAGCAGAGACATGTCCCAGGGACCTCCCCTCCTTCCCCACAGGGCTCACGACACCTGGGATTTGAGGGGACCTTTCCTGGGTGAAGCCTGAGCGACACAGCCCTGCTGGGATGGGGAAGGGAAAGCAGCTGGTGAAGCTGTGCTGGAGGGAAACTTCCCCCACCCCGTGCCCCCCTGACTCCAGAGGTTTGGGGGAGCGGTGCCCACCTCTCATCCCGGTGGCAGCTGCACGACTGGTCCCCAGGATGCGGGTGGGTGCCAGGGTGGCGTTCCCATTGTCCCCGTTATCTCCAGACCAGTGCACAGTCCGGGGGTTCCCGTGAGCTGAAATGGGGCTACACCGGGGCTTGGACCCCAACCCCAGAGATAAAGAGAGAAGGAGGGTCTTTTGCTGCAGAGGGAGCTGAAACGGGTGCCAGAGAGGGAGAGCAGCCAGACAGAGGAGAGGAAGAGGCTGACAAAGCTGCTTTGTGTGGGGCAGTACTGGGGGTAGGGGGGGAAAGGAAGGGGGGGCTTGGGAAAGGGGCCTGCTAGAGCCAGATGTGGGGACCTGGCTGGCTCCCTCCGAGCCCGTGGTCCCCAGATTGCAGTGCATGAGATAGTCCACCGGGCTACAGGAAAAAAAATAATTTTTGTACTGTTAATAAATAAAAAATACTTTAAAAAATAGTGCTTATTCTATCTCTATCCCATCCTTTTAAAATTTCTATTTTAGTCTCTGCTTTACAATGTACATGTTAGCCCAGTAGCCTATGTAGGTAATTTATAAACCAGTAAATATAGTGGAGGGGGTGCAATCAAAAAGTTTGGAGCCCACTGCTCTACACAATGCTGGTGGGTACCTCATGTTGTTAGAAACCAGAAATCCCCCCCCACTACTTCAGCACCCTGGGGTGATGCGGCACCTCTCCCCGCTGGGCCACGAGGTCTCTGCTGGACCCTGCAGAACTTTGGGGTGTCCCCACCTCCTAACTGAGCACCAGCCTCATCCCCCTCTGAGGCCACCCCAGCCTGGTTTTCCTGCATCCCCCACCCCCCGTCAGGCCTAGCACTAGGTTTAGATGTTTATTTTATCATGGCTCTTTTTTCCCCCTGTTTTCACAGAACAACAAGGATGCATTGAGCTGTGGGGCACGCCGGGAGACCCCGCTTCTCTGCCCCCCACCCAAGTTCAAGGCCTCCTGATCCCCAATTAGCAACTTGTCATTGATGAACTCATCAAAAGGCTGCTAAAAAAACCCAAAAAACAAAACCAAAGAACCAACAAACCAACTGAGGGGATTTGACATAAACTAGGGCAATAATCAGGTCTCTGTCCTCATTTTTAAATTAGTCCTAAAGTCCCCAGCATCCATGCCAGCAGGGACCAGCTCCCAAAAGCCCTGTGGAACAAGTACTGGCTGGCCAGCCCCATCCCACACCCTGCTGCAGCAACACGGATTCCTTGAAGCAGAAAAGGGGGGCTGGGGAAGAGATAGAAGCAGTCTGAGGCACAGGCTTGGCTTGTGGTCATGTCCCCCTAAGACTGTGCCTGTGAGGGGGTGGGGAAGGTACAGAGGAGGATCAGAAATGGGGAGGAGCTGCTGGTGGCAGCTTGCTGCAGCAGGAGGGGCTGGAGCAGCTTCAGGGGACACCAAGGACCCCCTTGGTCATGTCCTACCACCACCTTTTGAAACGGAGGGGAGCAGGGGGCTGCTCCCCACTGCAGGCAGGGGGTAAAGGCAGCGCTGCCCTGGGCAGGAGGGGATGGGGCTGCCCGCAGCGGGGATTTGGGTGCCCCATGGGGTACCTACCACGAGATGCCAGCAGGACTCCAGCAGCAGAATGGCTGCTGCAACGTGTGCTTGGTCCCAGGACGAGGAACAGAGCCCGGGCTCGGTTGTCCATGCACGAAGGACGCAGCCTTGCGCCCTCGGCTCCAGCCCCGTGCACGGAACCAGTCGCAAAGACAAACTCCTCCGGTGCCACCAAGCCAGTGCCACCAGCACGCGGCACAGCATTTGTCCCTCTGAAGTAGCCATCTGGGAGAAAGCATCCTTCATCCCGGCGGAGCAGCAGGGAGCTGCAGGCTGGCTGATTTCTGGCTGGGTCAACCTCTAAACTCAGCGGGTGGCCAGGCTGGTGCCGCTCACAAGAGAACGAGGGCAGGAGGAGCCCTCTGCGGGGTCGAAAGGAGGGGCACTGCTGGCACGGAGCTGCCACACAGATATGTACACCTTTGGGGACGAGGAAGGCTCAAGCAGTGTGACTAGGGCTCTGCCTACCGTTTTATCCCCGGGGAATATCCATCATGGCAAATATTTGGACAGTGAGGGTTCCTCCTATCTCCACCCAGCTTCCCACCCGCCTGGCTTTCAGCCTGGGTGACATTTGGGCAGCGGGAAGACCTCCACCCCCCAGAGCCCACTCCACATCTGGGCTCTCCGGTACCAGACCAGGTTTCCCAAGGTGGATTTTCTGAGCAGGGAACGGGACTTCCAGCCTCCTCCTGGGACATGGTGGCAGCACCCAGCCCACCGCAGGCAGCTTGTGATGCTGCTCCAGCTCCCCAGCAGCCCACCCCAGCCCGGACGAGGTCCCTGCAGCTCAGTGCCACAAGGCTCCAAATTTGTCTCTGCGCCATCAAAGTTATGACATGGATGCAAGATCCCATTTATATATCAAAAAAAACCCCTTTATTTCTCCATCTTCTGTACATACAAACTGTCATGATAACACAGTGCTGCCAGAGCATCACTTGCCCACAGCTGCAAAGCCACAAAAAAAAGCTTTATATTAAGGGAGCTGTTACAAGAAAATTACAGCTCTCAGGCAAGGCTCCAAGAGCAGCTCACGTATCTTGATTTCTCTTTCATTTTGCAGCTTTCTGGGGCTGCTAAATACAGCCACGTTTGGCTGCACAAAGGCAACTCCTGCCTGCCCTCACCAGCCTGGCAGAGCCTCCCGCCCCCCCCGACGCAGGGGTGGCAGAGCTCTTGGCCCCACATGGAGCCCTCTGATACCCCAGGCACCGAGAAGGCGGAGAGACCGATGTCTTAATTGTCCTGGCTGCCCTTTTTGACCCCCTCATCCCTTCGTGGGGGGGGGAAGGGGTCAAGCCTTGCTTGCAGTGGGCCCCCTGGTTCACCCCGGTCTGAGTGCAGGGAGTCCCTCAACCGTGGCCAGCACCATCCTGCCTGAGCAGCTGCTCGAGGCTGAACCAGAGCAACCCTTCTCCCCTCTGCAATCAGCGTTTTTCTCTTTCAAGCACAAACCTCTTGCGCGCAGGCACGCGCCCACCTCTTCCCAAGGGCTTTTATCTGCAGCCACTCGCTCGCCGTTATTCTCTCCGGTTCACGCACGGCCAGGTTTGCATGCCGGAGCACCTGGGATGGGAGTGGGGTAACAGGCACGAAGCGGCATCTGAAGCAGAGCGCAGGCATCGTGCCCTGCACAAAGAGCCCTGCTGAGAGCAGCCGCGGCGGCGAGGGGACCGGCGGCCCTGCCACGTGCCACGCGGGGCTGCCGGGCTGACCTGGCACGGGGGCACACGGTCTCCTCGGTTCGCCCAGCTTTTTATTAGCGCTTCCAACCCGTGATGGGATAACGAGCCCCAGGAACACCTGAAATGCTACCAAAAAACCAGAAATGGATTATTATTGAACGTAAAAGTGCATTAAAACTAAAAGCTGCAAAGGTCCGGCGTGATTCCAGGAGGGACCAGTGCTCCCAGTAGCACTTGGGTGGGCACAGGCTCCCTCAGAAAAGAACCTGCCCCGTGCTCGGTGACCCCAGCCATGCTGAAAGGCCCCCCAGACCCCGCTGCACCGCCTGTGCTGGCTCACCCCTCCCTGGGTGACTCTCCCAGGTCAGAGGGTGCCAATCTCCCTTCTCTCTGAGAGCATTCCCGGCCACCCTATTCCCTTCTCCACCCGCCCGGTACCCCAGCTCCTACCTGGGCTGGGATCAGCCTGCAGTGTTACGACAGCAGCTGAGCTGTGGGCTGGTCCCAGATGATGCTGGGCTGTTATGGATCACTCCATTACTTCAACGTTCCAAAGATATTAAAATAGAACAAGAAAACGTCTGGAAGCCGTAAGCTTCTCAACTGTAAACTATTGTATCAAGAGCCAGCACCCTGCAAAGCAAGACCCGGGGTCCCTGTGCTGGCACCCCGGCACTGAGCTACGTGTGGGGAGGGCTGTGGCTTTACCTTCCGTTCCTGCCTTTCTGCCCAGTCTGCTCCAGCATGAGAACTGCAGATGATTTTAACTCCCCTTGGCTGAAGCCTTTGGCCCTTCAGTTATCTACAGGAGCAGACCAAAGATTAGACAGGAGAGCTAAAATGACACAAAAAATGGCACAAACGGCCCCCAAAGCATGAAAGGAAATATATTACCCTTCATAGCCATGCACAGATCCCAGAGTAAAACTATTTTACTTACTGAAATCTCTCACAGGTCCAGCAGTTTTCTGCCTTTGCCAGGGACAAAGTCTAGCTGGAGCAGCTGATGATGTCTGTGGTCTCCACAAGAACACCTCCATCTCTTGTCACCTTGCTAGCTTTGCTGGTCTTGCATGGTTCTGAAACAAGGCATTGTTAAAAAGAGGGGGGAGAAGCACCTCCAGGCCAGCTCTGGTACAAACCATCTTCCTCGTGGGCAGCAGCTGGCTGGGCTGGGGGAGCTACCTGACCTCAGGACACTGGGGAATCGAGAAGTTCCCACCAAGGGGTCCAGGGCAGCAAAATGGAGCACGTTAAAGGTTCAGGCCTCCGTCTGTCTTCACCCCAACCCCAGACAACAGGCGTAGCTCCCCGACGGGCAACACTGACCCAACTGGGACTCCACACCTCAGGACACAACCTCCTTAGGAGGCCCCCAGGGGAGAGGACAGAGGCGGTGTAACGGAGGATGCTGCCCGCCAGGCTCTCATGGGGGTTGTGCTGGCGGAGAATTACACCTCCACACATCCCCCCCCACATCGGCCTCATCCAGAGGCAGCTGAGCACCGGCATCCCAGTAACGAGGCCCAGACAGCACCTGCTCTTAAGAAGCCTTGTCAGCTTAAGGCCTGAGCTCCTCCAGTTCATGATGCCAGGCTCAAGCTGGCAGCCCTGACCCAGAGCAGCCGCCGAGGACCCGCGGGTCCCAGGGGCAAGCAGTGGCCGGCCAGCGCGGCCGCAGCCACGGGCCCTGCCTGCACAAGCTCCTGCCTTCGGTGCCTCTGAAGATGCATTTTAACGATTGGGAGGGGATGGCAGAAGGGAGGGGACCAGCTCAGAAATATAAAGCCGCAGCTGAATCACGGCAGGCATGGGAAAATAACTCTTTCAGGACCAAAAGACTTTCATGCTGTCACCCCAGCTTCTGAAATACCAAGGGCAGGCACGCAAAGCCACGCAGAGGAGACAAGCTATAGGCTCCTGTACGGAATTTAAAAGCCTCTTGGAGACTCTGCCAAATGGCTATCATGAACCCAGCACCCTTTTCTTGCCCTCTCCGTACCCTGGAGCACCCTTGAAACTACTCCTCACCTCTCCTTGCCACGTCTGCCTCTCCCTGTCCTGCCCCTCAGCCCCACACAGTGGCCATTTCACCAGTGGTGCAGCATGCAGGAAACATCACTTACGGGTCTGTCCCTCACGCCCCCTGAAACCAGAAAAGCAAGAGGAACGTGGGCTGTGCGCAGGAGAAGGCTAGGACAGCACTTCTGCCCGGTGCACAGCAGGTCTGACACATGCAGACCACGGCAGAGCCAGGCTGGGGAGGGACCGGCAGCCTCCAAACCCAGACAGCAACCATCTCCCTTCTCCTTCCAGCTCTGCTGGCCAGATATCACCTGGGCAGGGGGGGGCATTTTTCAGTGCTGGACCCTGGTGTGTGGGCACTGCTGATGGGCCAGCCCCTCCGGGTGGTCTCAGGTTGCTGCCGCCGGGTTGCTCGAGAACGGCCCGAGAGCTGCTCTCCCACCTCAGTCCAGCAGCGAGCGGGGGATGAAGCATTTGGTTCGAGCAGACAACACAGGGAGCATTCAGAGCTGCCAGGCTTTGTGCACTGATCCCCTCGGGGCTACATCAGAAAGGAGGGGGGGGTGGGGGGGTGAGAGACATCCCTCCAGCTGCCAGCTGGACCAGTAGCACAGTTAGAGAGAGCTGAAAGAAAGTAAGATCCTGTACTCAATGCGCTTCTTGTCTTCATCTCTCAGCAAAGCCTCCTCTCTGCAACGGTCCCGCTCTGATCCAGCAGCCCCTTCTCCCCCCAGGCTCTTTCACATCCCCCAGCCCCTCTCCCAAGCCCCGACCTGCAGAAGCTTCTCGCTCCTCTGGGCAGAGCTGTCCCCCCGCAGCCCCGCTCTCCCCCAGGCCAAACCCCCTTTCCAACACATGGCATTAACCCAGCAGACTGATCCTTCCGCCTCCGCTCCTTGCAGGTCTCAAATACTCCCTCACACCCCCACTGACACTCTCTCATCTTTCTCAACCAGTGAATTTTCTCACATCCTCCCACCTTTTTCTTCCAGAAATGTATTCGGTTGCTTTTTTTAACCTGTGTAAACCATAAGCATCTGCAACATCCTGTAAAGAGGAGGGCTGTGAAACTACAGCCTGGCATTTAAATCTGCCCCTCCCAGCTTCATTCAAGCTCTTGTGGAAGAGACACAAACATCTCCAGTTTATAATTTCATACACCTCCTTCACGCCCCTTTTCTGGATTAAGCTGCCCCAAGTCTACCCAGTCACCTTGCTGCCTCCCTCCACAGCTGGTCTCGTTTATGATGTCCCTCCTCGGGCAGGGGAACCAGAACTGCAGGCAGCACAACACATTTAAAACAAAAAAAAAAGCCACCGCTGTGGTTGCTCTTCCTTCCTCTTCTTCCTTTCCCAGGGATTCCTAGATCTCGGGTGGGGATTTGGGGTTTTTAACTGCCGCAGAGCACTGGGCTGACATTGCCATGGAAACCCCATAAACCCCAGGTTTCGCTCCAAGAGGCAATGCTCAGCTTGGAGCATCCCCCTGCTCGCTTCACAGTTAGTGCTTTGTTTTTTCCCACTGAAATATTGTCAGAAATATTCCTACTCTTCACAGTCTTCCTGATGCATTTTGTTTCCTGACTTTTAGCCTGTTAAATAACAGGTTAGCAGTCATGTAGGAACCTCCCCTCTTGTCCCATGGGACTTTAGCTTCTTTAGGAGACTTTAGAAAGCCAGCTGGGCTTTATCAACTGACTTCTCATGCCATTGTCATCAGCAGGAGGACAACAGGAAAACACTACAGCTACTGAACATTAATAGTATTTTGGGCAATGAGTATTTATGGCTTGATCAAAGGATGGCCAGGCTAGAAACCCATGCCCAAAGATGCTATTATTAGTCATCCCCAGCAGCCCTGATTTGAAATTGCAGTGGCTCTGCAGAGGACTGGTGAAATATTTCTGAAAGACTTAGAAACAGCTTCCTCCTCCCCCCGCATACACAGATTTTTGTTGTGGTGTGATTGCACCCCCTGGCAAAGGCTGCAACCTGCCCTGCTCCCTGGGCTCGGTTTGTGGTTAGCATCACCTGGGTTCAAGAGGAACATCTTCCTCCCTCCCGCAGAGCCAGCAACAGCCTGAGCAATGGGGCAGGGGGTAACGTATCTGCTCTGTACGTGACAGCTTCATCCTGTCTGAGCAAGAACAGTCCCCTTGCATCCTGCGGGGCTCAACCCTCGCTCCCTTTCCTTTGGGTACCCAGGCCAGCACCAAGCTCAGAGTGGGACGGATGGAACGATGGAATCAGAATCGATTTCCTGCCTTCACTTTGCTGTGTGGTGGGGAGCAGATGGCATATGCGTGACGTCGAGGCGACAGAAAAGGATACTGGCTGAGTCACTTCAACCACAAACCAGCTCTGAATCATCTGGCTGAAGCTCTGGGGGTAGGACAAGCCCCAGGTCAGACCGGAGGAGGACACTGAGCTATTGTGTGCTTGCCCTGCTGTGGTTGGCGCATCTTACTCCATGGGCTGGCTGCAGCACACCCCTTTTGCTGACCTCGCTCCCCCACAACGGGTCCTTAAGCTATTAAGCAGAAGCCTGATGGCTTTTCCTATTCCTTCACAGTCTAGGGCAGGAGCTGCTTGTGGCTGAACAGATACAGCTGCTTGGGCAGGACAGGAGTCAGAAATCAGAGCTGACAAGGCTCATACACTGAGCTGCTGTCTTCCCTGGCAGCCGTGACGGAGGAATGGAGAAATGTCCTGACAGCTGGTAGTGGGACGATGGAGAAGGACAATATGTCCCACTGGGAGATCTCCTGGGGACCACAAAACATCAGGCAGGAGGCTCACAGGGAGGAGCACTCGGAGAAGCACTGGCTCCAGCAGAATCCTCTGCAAACACACGCTCTCGGAGCACCATGGGGTAATGCCGAAACCAGCACAGGCTTGGAACCTGCTGTGGGTTGACTCCAGTGGGCAGCTCAGCCCCACACAGCCACTTACTCATCCCCCCCCACCACCCAGAGGGATGGGGGGCAGAACTGGAAGGGTAAGGGTTGAGATAAAGGTGGTTTAATAGGTAAAGTAACAGCTGAGAGCACAAGCAAAGCGAAATAAGGAATTCATTCCTCACTTCCCCTCAGCAGGCAGGTGTTCAGCCATTTAGCAGCTGGTGGCATTTAGCTGCCCACTGGGGTTAAGCCACGACAGGACCACACGGATGCTGCACTGAAATCACCTTCTGAAAAGAGCAAAAAAAGGGGAAACCCCAGAGGACAGGGGAAGGAAATCCCGCGAGGACAGGCAGAGTTCAGGATCATGTGCCTGCTACCACCTGCCCTGGCTCCTACCCCTGTGTGGCATAAGGGGGAACCCTCTTGGCCCTCGTACCCTGTGGGCAGGGCCCCTTGTTTTTGCAGATGTGGAAAGGGAAATCCTTCCCCTCCACGGGAAGCTGGGTCTGAAACAGCTGTGAAGGCAGTGAGTGTGTGTCCCTCCCTCCCCCCCCCCGGGTTTTGATTGCAGCAGGAGAGCTTCCTGCGCTCAGAGCACACAGTGCTCCTCTGGGAGAGGGCCAGAGGGGTGAAACCAAGTTGGGGAGATGTCACTTGGGGCGCCAGGCACGCCGTCACCAACAGCCGAGGCGGCGTACAGGAGCACACGTGGTCACGCGTACCTACAGGCTTTGGGCTGCTGCTGTTGCTTACGGCCACGGTCCCGTCACCGGTGGAGGACCACAAGCACCCTGCACGGCCAACAGCACCACGACACGTCTGCCACGCAGCCACCAAGCTGCTCAGGGTCTGCCGGGGCAGCAAGCCTACACCAACCACGCGTAAGGCTTGGGCCCGGCTGAGACCGAAAGGCAGAACAGCCCACCACTTAAAATCCCTGCCCTTTTCTACAGGCGAGCAAACACCCCACTGCTACCGTATGCTGCTGAAACGGAGTTGGAGATTTCTCTACATGCTTCTCCCGATTCTTTTCCTCCTATATTTGAGACAGAAAAGTTGTAGCTTCGTGTCTTCTACATCTCTACTCTGGTTTTCTTTTTCCAAATGCTTGGCTAAGAGATCTGCCGCACTCTTTTGGTCTGGTCACTGGCTTGTGGCCACTTCTACGGCACAGATCTAGCACCACGTGTCCTCAATCCCACTTTGGGTCCTGTTTTTCTCTGTTTGCTTTCCATTCTGAGCACATCACAGCCCTTCTACCCAGAATCTCCCATACAGGGACCACTGTCAGCAGCACAGGAGCTGCTCTAACATCTCTTCACACTGTTCTCCCCAAACCTTGCTATTTCTGAACCTGCTTTCAAGCTGTCTCCTTTTCCAAACCCTTTTGATCTCTCTTCCTTCTGCCCCTAACATGGCACAAGCCCCTTCTCTCTATCTTTTCATCTAGCTGCTGGGACCTGGGCAATATCTCCATATATCCCACTACCACCTCGACTCTTTCCGAATCTTTGCAGGTCTTTCTGACAGAAGCGTAACAGCCCTGTCTTAACCACATTCATGCATGTAAAAGGTACAATTCTGGTGCCTCAGCCTGGGAGAAGAATTTTAGTAAGGCCTGTTGCGATAGGACAAGGGGTAATGGCTATAAACTAAAAGAGGTTATATTCAGACTAGATATAAACATGGAATTTTTACAAGGGTGGTAAAAAACTGGCACAGGTTTCCCAGAGAGGTGGTAGATGACCCATCCCTGGAACTATTCAAGGTCAGCTTGGATGTGGCTCTGAAAAAACTGATTTAGTTGAATATGTCCCTGCTCATTGCAGGGGGACTGGACTAGATGACCTTTAAAGGTCCCTTCCAACCTAAATCATTCTATGGTACTGAGAAAAAAATCTAGCATCTCAGTCCACATAGCTGGGCAGGAGAACAGATGATGGCAGGCGGGAGTGCACAGTGAAAGGTGCTGTGTAAGCCAGCACGAATGGAGGGGTGGAGAAGCTATTTTGGCTGTGGATTAAAAGGATGCAACACGTCAGCAACTGCAGCAGTACCAGCTGGGTATGCGAACCATGCCGTGGTTTCCTTGACAGCTGAGAGGAAGGAACAAACACCAAGGAGCAATAGTAGGCACCATTTTTGTCAATCGCTTACCAGCCCTGGAGCTCTCTGCGGGAGGAAGCACAGAGGTGGCACAGCCCGGTGAGCAGCACCTAACCCTGCCGTGCTCCCCTGCTCTGCCAGACTGCAAAGCTTTCTGTAAAGCATCCATCTCTCTGGCCCCGTTAGCCATCTGCAAAGAAAGCACAGGACCTACTGACACCCACATGGCAGGAACAGGGAACAGAGCCCAGCAGCTGGACTCCTTCACGGAGGCTTTGTGAGCAACAGCCTCACATATTCTGCTACAGAAAAATCACATCTTTTGCCTCTTGTATCATAGAAAGGAACAATAACTATTCCTCATCCCATTCCTCCATGTCTCTCAGGTATGGGGTAAAATCCTGTGGGTCTTCTCTCTGTATATGCTTCGAGGGAATGTTTTCTTGCCCCATGGGTATTGTAGGGGGTGGAAAGGCATCCACCTCACCCGCTCTGGATGGGAGAGAAAGGATTAGGACCCAGACTGCCTGGCAACACCTTCCTCCTGGGGAGGGGGGGGCAGGGATGGCTCTGCCAGGATTTTTGGTCATGTAGTCTAAAACCTTTCACTTCCCAGCTGTTGGGTTATTTGCTGCCGACCAAGGCCCCTCTGGCTCCTCCGCTGATCCCCCTCAGGGTCTTCTCCCTGTCTGCTTGGCTCAGTTGTCTCCTTGCTCCTCTCCAATGAGCATCCCGGGTGGCTAATGCCATCCTGCTCCCTAATCTCCCTTTCACTGTCGTGATGGTGCTCAGGCCACTAAGGAGATTAGCCTGGCCTCAGCTGCTCGCTCTCCCTAGCAACAGGGATGTCACCCCTCAGGGAGCCATGCGCAGGGGTGACAAATGTGCTGCCACCACCCCAGTGACAGTGCAGCTCTGGTGCCCTCTCCTGTCCAGCCACAGGCTCAGAGGAGGTGCCTGAGCTGCAGTGGAGGATGAGATGTGCTAGCACCAGGCATTAGCAGGACGCTTTTCCCCACAAGCTGGGAGACCTGCACGCACCATCTTGTTTGCGTGGGAACCTCCCAAGCTCGAAAACAAGAGGACCAGAACACCCAGGCAGAGGACGGAGCCCCTCTGCACCCCTCGCAGGGCTCCGACAGCACAGGAGCAGGTTTTTAAAATGCCGTTAAAACCCCAGTCCTTAATAAAGCAGCCCATTCCTGCTGCCCCTGCAAAGCCAGGCGGAGGTTGTGAGCTCCAGGCCCAAAATCACTCACCGCACGCCTTTGAGAGGAGCCTCCCGGGGCTGCTCGCTACCCCGCGCATCCCTGCCTTGGCCATCGGCGCGGCGCCGAGGCGGTTAACGCCGAGTGCGCGGGGCTCTCGGCAGAGCTCCGTTTCCGTGACAACAGCTCCCGATGAAACCCAGAGCTATAAAATCCCATTAAGCATCTGCGTGAGCCTGCCTGCGCTGCCTGCACAGGCTGCCACCTGCCGGCACCCACCTCGGGGGCACCCAGCACCCCGGAAACGCGGCAGGGACAGCACCAGCGTGCTGGGGGGGGGAAGCCTGGGCCACGAAACCTGGCTACTAGAGCCAGCTTTTGGGCTAATGAAGGGAGCCCTGGGAGGATTGAGCATGCGGGTATACACCCTACAAGTCACCAGAGCCTTGGGGGGCTCTGAGGAGGGATGCAACACCCACCACCGTGACTTTGGCTGGTAGAGATCCTCCCCTCAGAGCAAAGCAGTCCAAATTCACCCGTGGGGGCTCTCGAAATTTTGAGGGCAGGTATGAGAGACAGCAGTAAGCTACTGGCATCTATTAGGGCTTTCTAGTTCTTTACACTTACCCTTCCACTTGTGCCGAGCCCAAGCAGAGGGTCTGGGCTGCTGTGAAGGTCTCTGAGGATAAGAGAGAGCAGTGGCCCAACAGGGACTTCAGACTGAACTCAACCCAAGCCAGACAACGGGACTGGGAGGCTGAGGAAGGATGCTGTGACACTGCTACTTAGGGTTCCTGCCTCACCTCGGTGCTTCATTTGCTCCCCTCCAGCTTTAGTGTACTCAGGGACTTCTAAACACCTTTTATATTTTACCTGATTCAAAAAGTTTGGGCTTTTCCCCTCTCCGTGCTTCCACCACCACCTGCAATAGGAAAAGGTACCAGGAGAAGGTGAGTAGGAACTGAGGGAAGTGTTACACACCTAAGGTGATGCTCCTGATGGCACAACTCAACCGACGCGTTCCTGCTGCAGGTAAGAAAAGCAGCAACTGAGTTTAGTCTGGTATCACACAGAGGGTTCTCTGGGTACTGGGCAAACAGGGATCTGGCACTCAGGAGATCCTAAGGAGTTACTGCTCCTCATGGGGGAAGTGGGTCCAGGAGAGAACAGGCACCATCCATCGAGGGGAAGCTCAAACAACAGCACAGGTCCAACCCATTCCCGTGTGCCTGTAGCTGGGGCTCGACGACCTTAGATGAAAGAACCTGAACACACAGAATTCCAGGCTTATTATAGAGTATGTAATAATATATAAGCCATATATATAGATATAAACACATTATTTAAGCCTTATTATACAATAAGGCTCCTGCATCTGAAGCTGGCTGCAGGACTGCTCAAGCTACAGATATTTGTTGGATCGTCCCCCGAGCTGTATCCTAAGTTGCTCCCCTGCACTCCTGGGTTCAGGGGTGCAGAAGCTGCAGCTTTTCCTTCCATTTGCAAGTGCTGCCGAGTCACTTGTATCCTGGGAAAAAGCCTCTCCTCTGCTTGGGCAGGAAGCAGGCAGGGAGCAAACAGTGCCGCCTTCATCCCCCCCGCCCGCCATCATCTAACTCCATCCCCGGGTATGGGAGGGAAAACAGTCACCGGGACTCGTGGCATCAGGAGCCCTGGAAACTCTGGCATCTGCAGGAGCCAGGGGAATCCAAAGGGGCCGTGGATGAAAGCTGACACAGAAAGAAAATACTCTTTTTGAGCTACAATTGCTGGCACAGCTGCTGGCCAGACCCCCTTCCGAAAACTGAAACATGCCAGCAAGGGGGATGGAAATCATTAACTTGTTCGTTTGTGTGATTTAATCGTTTCCATCTCCCCCTGCCCCTTGGATAAGCTCAGATTTCTGAAGATTTCCAGCACCCCAATGCTGCAGTGCCGGGGGGCCCCCCAGAGCAGCCGGCAGGGGTTGAGAGAAACACTAACAGAGAAGAAAGGGCTCCCTCTCCCTTCCTCCTCAAATGCCTTTAAAGGCAGAAGCCGTGGGCACATGGCTTTTCTGCAGGAGTAGACGTCCAGGAAAGAAGCCAAACGGCACGCAGGAGAAACCCAGAGCCGTTCGCTGCTTCTTTCAAAGCACAGGGGCTCAGAAAGCCCACGGCCTCAGAACAGAATGGGGAAAAAAAAAAAAAAAGCAGCAGAGTCTTGCAAATAAAGCAGTTGGCTGAAAACTACAGGGTGATCTAGGAACAGTGGTGAGGCAGGGCACGGATCTCTGTCAGGAGGAGCTGAGACACAGCCCTGCTAGACACTGAGCATGCATTTAGTGGGCTGGCTGGTTTTGCTGTGGCGAGTCAAGCCCTTGAGGTTCCTGGGCTCAGCTAAGCGACAGTGTGGGTCTGCAGCCTTATCCGTACGTGCTCGGGGATCAGGACCACCTTGTTAGAGGCAGCAAAGCAGCGGGAGGGAGGGAGGGAGGAATGCGAGAGCTTGCAGAGCATCTCACTGAGGGAGTTCGAGCTGCCAGGAGGAGGGGACGTGTTTCAGGAAACCCAAAGAGGCAGGAAATCGAGGGAGAAGGACTGTAATTGAGTCCATATGCTGGAAGAGAAGAATGCATCTGGTAGCAGGAAGCAGGCTAAGGGAGAAAGCCCATGCTGCGGGGACAGCACAGGGCAGTCACAGAGTCACGTTATCCTCCTGGACCAAGCAGAAGGTTGAATTCAGACTAACCATGACTGCTGAGACGGGTCACTTGTCACTTGTGTGGGCTTTCAGGTCTGTGCCTGTGGTAGCTACAGGCTCACGGGGCCTTAAACTCATTAACATCCTAATGTAACAGGTAATGTTGCAAAAAGGTGGTGGAAATGGCTGTTTTACTAAGAAATGACAGGATCAGATCTACACCCACATCCCTGAGCATGTATGGAGCCAGGGAGGAAAGCAGACAACAGTAACATCAGAACATGGTAAAGCAGGAAACAGTAATATTAGAATATGGTTTTGCCATTCATCGGGAAGTGCCAGGGGGGATGTCAGGTCCACTCTGCTCCCAGAAAGCAGCGCAGTTTTGGTGCAGGAGTACCTGCTATTGTAGGATTCACTTACTCAGAGGTAAGGGCACAGACAGGGTGATAAATGAGGAACCTGAGTCTGCACAATCATCGCGAGGCCGTCCCACAGAGGCTATCCCACTGCTTTAGGTACTCCCACGTTCAGGCTACAGCGCTGGGAAAGCTCGTAAGATCGTTTATGGTCTCTCCCCTCCCCCCTTCTAAAACACATTTGCAAAGAAATCTGAAACGTATGTGGTTGGAATCGAGGAGCCTAACGCCAGACTCCCACACCAACAGAGCACAGCACAAGGGTTTGGGAAGGGGGGAGAAGGGCTCCGATGCTAATACCCACTGGGCCTCCCAAGAAAGCAAGGGAGGAGATGGAGCACAGGACTACAGCACTGAGTGGCCGTGCAGGCTTTTGGTGTGTCATGCAAATTGCTGCACTTTATGGAAACAAAAAGCCTCTCAAGCAGTCCCTGAGGTTTGGCAAGGTTCTCTGTATCTTAGTAGGCTTTGCACATTGCTGAAGATGGGTTTACTCTAACTTGTCCAACACCTAAGTTTAAAGCCCTGCAGGCAAACCTGCAGATTTCTGCTCTCAGGACTTATCCTCTCAGTAAGAAGAGTGTAATACCACTCATGCTGTCCCAAGCCTCCATCCCTGGGAATCCAGCTGCAGAGCATTTCTCTCCTCACACATCATTAGTAGGGCTTTGCAGCCAGTCCAAAACTTCTGCTGTCCCAAACACCCAACTGCATCTCATACCTGCCTTTGTGTCTACCAGCCGTTCTCTGATCCTGTCATTCCTGGCGTGTCTTCTCTGCTTCCTCCTTCTTCAGCTTTGCACAGCTTATCTGTTTCATGCCGCTTCCGATTCTTGTGATGGCTTGCTGCAGAACAGGAGAAACAGCTGCTTCGGGTCTGCAGGATGGTCAGGTGGGGGAAAAAACCGCACAAAAGCGGTTAACATCCCTCTTTGGGAAAGGGGGAGTTAGAAGCATGGCAGGTCTGGGCAATGAAGGAAAAATTAAGAATTAAGAGGAGAAAAGGGCATCTTAGAAAACCTATTTCTAAAGTTATTCGGTTCTATGAAGATGTTATCAACAGTCATCTTCTGGGGGTCAAAAAAAAAAGCACTGGCCCAGTACCGTGTAGAGGTCCTCTGTGTTTGAGTACATCATTTGCAACTTCTCATACTGTGTCTTGGCATCCTTAACGGAGCTGTGAAACCCAGGAGTTGAGGACCATAAAGCAAACATCAGGTGGAAAACATCAGAGCGAGCAACAGACCACGGAGTGCTGCATCACTCAAACCTCAGCCGTGGTTCCTCTCCACTCAGAGGTTTCAGCAGTGGCACAGATGCCACCGTCACCAGGCCAGGGTGCCGAGATGAACCCAGCCTAACCTGCTCAGTGTTCGCATGATGCTTACACCTCCTACGTCAAGGGTGAAATGAAGGAACATGCAGCTGGCAAATAAGCAGCATCTTGCTTATGCTCTGCCTCACAGGCAGGATGGCATCCCCATGGCACACACCTGCAAAAGCAAGATTTCATGGTACAGCCCCAACTGCTCAAAATCCATCGTAGCACTGCAACACCCAGCAACTCAGAGTGTCCCTTGGGAAGCCCACGGCGCTCCCAGCAAACCACCAGCCTCAAAGCAGTCCAGAAACCCCAGGAATGCCCTCAGGTAACTCACTTTTAGACAGCAACTGAACAGAGCAGCAATCCCTTTGCCCAAGGCTGTCAGAGTGACAGGGATCCCCTGCCGATGGCAACCGGCATCCTTGCAGCACTGCAGGAATCCCCCACACCTTGCAGAGGAACACTGTGGTCCACACCAGGACAGAAATGCCTTTTACCACATGATGGACCCTTCTGCTCTTTCTCCGTCTCCAAACTTTGCCAAGACCTGTGAATCCCTACTGCCATAGCTCACGTCCACTTTGAAACATTTTTCTTCCTAAAAGCAAAAGGGCATTGTCATTTTTTCCACAGATTTGTCACTCTCATTTGTGTCAGCTGGAAAATTCAGAATATTACACTGCACATTGAAAAATCTGCCCGTTTGTCATGTTTAAGCTTTTCTTTTAGTTCTCAGCAGACACTGGAAAAAAAAAAAAAAAAGGGAGGCATAAAAATAGATGACATTCCTAAAATATTCGCATTAAGCAGCAGCATATTTTCTACCCTGCAACTGTCATCAAGACTCCAGACATAGTCCCTGAATATCCCTTTGACCTCACTGCCAGAAGTGTGGCTCATCCCCCCAACCCACTCCTGTTTAGATCCGGGTACATCACCCCCACACACTGATAATTAACTGCTTCAGGCAACACCTCAGTGCTCCCTCAGCAGCAGATCCCCCAGGAAATATGGTCCTTCCTGCTCCTGGATGGTGAGTGTGCTCAGACCAAGGGCAAAGCACACTCATACATATGCTTATGTGCACTTCCCTGCCAGATGTGAACGCTCTGAAGTCTAAATACAAACCAAGCCAGCACCAAGGCTCTCTCCCCTCTTTTTTTTTTTTGCAGTATTTTGGTATGGGACACACACAACAGGAAACATCTGCATGCTTTAAAAACCTCCTGTCTCCAAAATGAGATAAAAAAGGTGATTTCTTTGGACCTATTGTTTAAAGCTGTTTAAAGACTGACAGTCCCAGAGAAGGGTGCAAAGACACAGTGAAGGGACCTGCCCAACTCTAGTGCAGCGCAGCGGGGTTGGCTCAGCAGCCTGGGACAAGGGATGGGACAGAGTTATACTGGAGATGTTACTGTATGTTAGAAGGAGTAATTATCTATTGATAATATGTAGGGATATGGGACTCAGAATGATGATGATGATGATTTAAGCTGATAAAAAAAATCATGATGATTTAAGCTGATAAAGTGACATCAGTTACTGGACTGGACAAATAATTACCTATCTGAACATAGGTGGATGGTCCACCTTTATTTAACTCGGAAAAGAAACATACATATAATTATCTGTGTTTGTTAAATAGCCAAATGCCTCATGATCTAATTAGTGATTACGTTATTAGCCGAATGCAAATATTAGACCAGGTAAGACAAAGAGCAGAGCAGCGGGGGTGTGGGGGGGGGCAGCTGCCGGGCGCTCGACACAGATTTCATCCTCCATCTGAGGGACGGATACATCTGCAGTCCACATCCTGCTGCTTGCTGCTTCTTGCTTTCCTTCCTCCCTGGACACTGACTCAGCACCACCAGCCTTTTATCAACAGGACAAAACAATAGGTATCCTTCCTTCCAGGCATCGCATCCGCTCGTTTCATCGATGTTTCTTTCCTTCGCCACCCTGCGCACCACAGCACAGCCGCAGCCCTAAGGGGAGAGAGGCTTCCACTGTAACAACACAAATTAACAACACAAATAAGGCATCTTTGGGATGCAGTTTCAAGGCTTTGCAGCCACAGATGCAGCAATGAGGCAAAACTGTCTCTGCTCAGAACAGCCGAGATGCAAAGCCCTGTTCCCCAGCCACAGCAAACATCTTGCTTTCACTGGGATCACTTCTGATCCCAGGACTTTGTGTCTTGGAAGCTGGCCATGAGAAAAACTGGACAGGAAAACAGGACCATACAGAATGACCATACCTGCCTAGCCAGCAGGTATTTCCAGGTGCCGGAAATCCTCTGGGTGTATTTCCTAGCTGCCCACATGCAGGTGGCTGGGAAATAAACCCAGAAGGTACCAACCAGTTCCCCGAGCTGCCCACAGAAAAGCACTTGCCTTGAAGAGCCAATTTCTCCAGTTCTGTACAGACCCACTCCAGAGTTCCCAAGCTATCACCCCTCAGAGACCCACATTAGGTCCAGCTTTTAGCTGAATCAACTGAGCCCACACACTGTATCATGCTCAGGCCCACTCTACCAAGCAAAAAAAAAAAAAAAAAAATTAAATCTTAGTGTCAGGTCAGTGAGTAGGTGCAGGATGTGTGTAGGCACTAGGACTGGCAGGCAGCAATCTTTTTCTTTGCCATTGCCAGCTCCCACTTGTAAGATCAAATGCAGAAAGCACTAAAGCCATGCCTGCGGTCCCACAGACTTCAGACCTATCAAGCATTTGTTTCCTGCTGACCTGAGTCAGAGTCCAACACAGCGACAAGCACAGAAATCAGCAGGCAGATAAGGCAGAAAAATGTGTTTAAACAGAGATAAAGAGATGCTTCCTGACATGAGCACCAACTGACCGACTCTCAAGGGACCGTCATCGAGCACGTCTGTGCCACAGGGTCCTGCAGCAGCACAGACACGTCTCTGAAGCAGCTCGCTAGATGAGACCCCCATGACTGAGTACAGGCAGGTGCCAAAAAACAACTGCCCGTTACCTGTGTTCCTTCCCAACTCGTTATAGCAACCAAAACTGTTTTCTGAACAGGCGGGTTCTGACTCCAGAGCCATTTTGCATTCAGATCCCATCCTCGGGCAAGGCATCCAGAAGGGGAAACATAGAATAGTTTGAGTTGAAAAGGACCATAAAGATCATCCAGTCCCACTCCCCTGGCCCAGGCAGGGCCCCCTTCCCCCAGCCCAGGGTGCTCCCAGCCCCGTCCAACCTGGCCTTGAACCCTTCCAGGGAGGGGGCAGCCACAGCTGCTCTGGGCACCCAGGGGCCAGCACCTCACCCCCGCACAGGGAACGATTTCTGCCTTAATCTAATTCAAATCTACCCTCTTTAGAAGACCTCAGACCAGGTGTGCATTATCATGGCCAGGAATGGGCTTCTAAGTTTGGCCAGGAGTTGCGGAGGAGGAAGGAGACTAAGCTCAGGCTGCAGGCAGTAGGCAGGTTACACACAGCTGGACATAAGAGAAGGTGCATCCAGAAAGGGCATTGGCAAGGGCTGAGCGATGGCAGAATCATTGTCCTTCCTGGACAGAGTCCTTCTAAGCCCTGACTGCATCTTAACTGTGAAAATGGTATTCTAATCAATAGAAGTAAAAAAAAAGCCCAGGAACAGGCATTTCTGAGGTATTTAATCCTTTTTGTACTTCTCAAACCTTACAAAGGTTCCAGTGTCAGGAACAAGATCAGATTTATTTTCCACTGCCCTGTTTCCAACAAGCAGCAGTGCTCTCATTTAAGGTCACGGTTTTAACCCTGTCGTCCTTGGTGCAGGATTCATCCGAAATGGGGTCCTGCTCTTCCCATTCCCCACCTCGCTCTCTTCTTGCTCGTTATCCCACAGCAAGGCTAAACTGGACTGTAAAAACATAACGAAAAAGCATCTGCTAAAAGAGGCTTTTTAGATCTGACAATCTGAAGACTTCTTGCACTGAAGGGAAAAAAAAAAAAACCGATGGGAGTTTCCTACTAGAATTGCACAGCCAAATTGTTGGGGTTTTTTTGTTGGTTTTTTTTTTTTTTTTTTTTGGAATTAAACGTGGCAGGAGAACATGACTTATTCTGTTGGAATTTTACCAGATGCTTTTGCATTTCAAACATCATATTTTTCTTATGTGAACAACCCGGAGTTCTGCATCTTAAAAAAATAGGATAACTGAGACCCTTTCAAGATGTTTTGGGAAGATTTTTTTTTTTTTTTTCCCCTTGCCTTTAAAAAAAGTAGAGTGGGGGCTGGGAGTGTGAAGCCAAGCAACCACACACTTTATGAAATCTTGTACACAGGGAACAAAGACAGGGAGCATAGCTTTCCTACAACACACATATAAGGACAGATATTGTTTGGGTCTTAAAAATGCATCAAGTACAAAATTTACTCATTTAGATTCTCCCCACATCAAAGTGAGATGATGAAGCTGCCTTTTCTACAGGAAGAGATAGTCATTCTATTTGAAAACACAGATAATAAAGCTGGTACTGATTAAGCAGCCCCAAGAGAATTACTGCTGTCCAAGC